ATACTTATCGTTTGATGAGCAGATATGAAGAATCACTTGCAAATTTAAATAAATCATTAGAAATTGAACCAAATAATGCATTTGCATTAAGTAGACGTGGAGTGACTTACCGTATGATGAGCAGTTATGAAGAATCACTTGCAGATTTAAACAAATCATTAGAAATTGAGCCAAATAATGCATTTGCATTAAATAGACGTGGAGAAACTTATCGTTTGATGAGCAGATATGAAGAATCACTTGCAGATTTAAGCAAATCATTAGAAATTGAACCAAATAATGCATTTGCATTAAGTATACGTGGAGAGGATTACTTTATAATGGAAAGGTATAAAGAATCACTTACAGATTTAAATAAATCATTAGAAATTGAAGTAGACGAGGAGAAAGCTATCGTATGATAGGCAGTTATAAAGAATCACTTGCAGATTTAAATAAATCATTAAAAGTTGAACCAAATAATGCATTTGCATTAAGTAGACGTGGAGCAATTTATTACAGTATGCTCAGATATGAAAAATCACTAGCTGATTTAAATAAATCATTGGATATTGAACCAAATAATGCATTTGCGTTAAAAAGACGTGGAGTAATTTATTATATGATGAGCAGATATAAAGAATCACTAAACAGAAATTCTAATAGAATACATTTTAGCGTTAGTTGGTAGTTTTCTTCCATATTTAATTTTTCTGTTCTTGGCCGATCCAGCCGCGGCTGAGCCGCAGTAAATATTTAATACCATCGGTTGTGGCCAAATTCATGCTTAGGTGAATAAAGCAGATTTGTAGGACTCCATTGAATCTAACATCATCACAAATTTAGCAATGGTTCGTGAAATAGTTGCTTTACTAAAAATATTTACAGCGTCACCAGCTGCTCACGATATTTTATCAGTATTCACAATATTTTTAAAAAAAACTTTATTCAAGTAATTTGAAAACCGTGATAATGTATTTCTGCAGACTTGTTTAGTAAAAAATTTTGTTATAGCTGTTTAAATTGCAACAATTTTTTTTTGATTTTTATAGATATTTAAATAGAAATAATGAGATTTTTATTAAGCAAATTAGCAAGAATATATTAATAAAAAATATTCTGATTGATAATTTACATATATGACAAGATCTGAGCAGTTCCTGGACACTTTTTATTTGGCATAATGCATTTATTATTAAGTCCGAATAATATTGCAAAAATTTAAATTCCGTAAGGTATTTTGCACTTTTTCAAAATGAAATAATTTCAAGGAAAGGTAACCCAGTGATTTTCACATGACACTCGGCCTAAATTAGGGATTATTTTTGGTAAAATCCTCCAAGAGGAAAATCCCAAAACTGATTATACGTAATATTCGAGAATCGACCTTATCTCAAGTCAAAAGTCGAATGTCAGGCTAATAATAAATTATTAAATTTAGAATCTATTGAAAAATAATTAAAAGAGCACGAGTAAGATTATATAATTTTTAATTTTTAAGTCAATAGGTCGGGAATTTTGGGTTATTAAAATTAACATGAGATATTTATTGGAGTTATTATACGACTGAAGAATCAATTTTCAGAACTGATTTTAATGGGGATTCAGGGTTAAGAATTGATTTGAATACTATTTAATTACAGTCCCACAATTCTGATAGTTGAATACCTTTAACTCTGATTTTTGAATATTGTTATATTAACAGTTTTATAAGCATAAATTTCATATCAGATAATAACAAGAATTTACAATTCCTTTGACTTAGCATTAGATGTTTAACAAAACATTTTCAGACAGTCTTTCATGTGATATAAGATATTTTATTAGTGAGATGATTATTTATCAAATTTAAGAATAAAGAATGTGATATATTTCTTGAATTGTCGCTTTGAGATTGAGACTTTTCAGTTGTGGTGATTTTGATATGATTTGATATAATGACAGATTCTTACTCTTATGTGGTAGTTATTTATATTTATGCGGTGTAAACTTTCCAACTGTTTGCATTTCTAAAATCAGCAAGACAGGAGTTCTTCACAATTTTGAGAAATTCATCAGTCATTTTTGTAATTTTTTTTTATATACTTTATTTAAAATCAATTGCGATTGTAATCGAAATAAAATAAAATAAGATCAAAAGTAAATTAAGGATAAAGATTATAAGGATGCGTTTCAAAGAGAAACATTAGGGTAATCTCTTATGATCTAAATAAGAAATATCAATCTGATATAACAACGGCTTGGTCATAAGGTAAAAATGGAGAAAAGACAATAATAAAAAAAAAAGAAAAAAAATACTAGCAAAAGAAAGAAAAAATTGATGTGAACGTTAAAACGAGGCCGATAATTATAAAAAAAAAAATTTTTTTTTGAGAACTTTACTAAATGAGTCGATATCGAGAGCTATAGAAAATAAATTTACGAGGACGAAAGCTATTTAAAAAGTTTCTATTTAAATTAACCTCATGCAAAGTCTATAGACTATTATATTCAAGTTCGATTTACTAATATCTTTGATTTTTTATGAAAACAGTTTTAGCCGCAGTACGGTTTGGCACAAAATCCCGACAATGACATACCCAAAAACAAAAATCCCGACAAAAATTGACTAACATTATGCTAACTCTAACCCTCATATGGGCGGATTTGACTCATCAGAGGTGATGATTCGGAAAATGATCTACATGCATATTTTGTAATGTAAACATATAATGTGATATAAAATTTATCCAGCTGACCAATTATATATATCATGTGATGTTTGCTCTGATTATATCTGATTGCTAATTACCATAAAAGGAAATAAAATCAGAGCAACATCCAATAAAAATCATTGATGTTCATTTCAAATTCGATATTATCACATAGGATATTTACCTGCGTCCAATCCGCCCATATGTAATGCGGGCTAATCTGTCGGGATTTTGACCTTTCTAGATTTTGTTTGTCGGGATTTTAAATAGATACCGCCGCAGTAATTAATTTTGGATCCGTAATTAATAATATTTTATTTTCAAATAAAAGTTTATTTTGTATTTAGAAACTGTCCGATACTTTTGTATTGGAGCAGTTTTGTCTCGGATTACCACGAGATAAAATATTTTTACTTAATTTGGTTCTAGATCTGATTAGCTAATAGGTTTGTGTTTTTTTTTTTAGAAATTAATAAAACCGAATTCAGAGACAACTTATCAACTCCAGGCATGACACGACGCTAACTTATCAAACCAAATTGGCAATTGATTGACCAGTGATACGTATAACGAATACTGAAATATGTATGTAACAAATTATTTGAACGAAATTTACCTACAATTTATTTATTAAAAAACTGTTTCATTAATTAACATATTGAAAATGGAAGAAAGATATGACATTCCTAGTTCAAGTTCATTTGTAAATCATAATGGCGTTCCTAAACCAAACATAGAAAATTTAAATTTTGTCCATAGTAATCAAGCTGAAGAATTTATGGAAGATTTTGATAATCCATCTAATTTAATAAGATTTAAAAAATTAGTTGAAGACTTTGAAATAAAACTGCCAGAAAGGATATTAATTAAAGCACTTAAATTACTTGGTGATGCTTCTTATTTTGAATATCACTCAGAAAATATTATTCCACATCTTGAAATTCATCTTCGAACTTGGATGGCAACTTTAGAAAGAGTGTGCTATTCTTCAATCATTTTGGGGTGT